CAGTTATGCCAAGATTCAAAGAATCTCTCAAAGTGCTGAGTAATCAGGGGCACTCGCCCAAGCATGGTTGAAATCATCTCCAACTTTGGTTATCCAGGAGCCGTGTTCCAAAGATCACAACACTGGGGTTGTTTATCTTAATGGTACAGATCTAAGAAAGTCTTATCGAGGTAAGTTTTTTTTCAAAAGCCCTACAGATTAGGGAAAGGCATTATGTAGGGGAATTCCTCCACTTCAGAGTTGATTAGGTTAAGTCCAGTCGTAGTCTAAACAACTTGTGAATTTGAAGAGCATGTCGAGAAGTCAAGATCGTTATCCTCAGCTCGTTAGGGATGTAAATCCATGTATTGGTGTTCCTCCATCAAAAGCCACATGCCTACGTTTGGGATTGTTGGCATTCTTTGACAGAAGTCATGGATTATCATCTCCAATTGAAATTAGGATTCTTATCCTCAGCTGAAGATCAGGATTTAATTCCAGGTTATGGGTTTTCTTCAGCAGAAGTCAGAAGATTGGATTTTATCCTTTGATTTCCCGACAGACATCCTCACTTCGGCACCTTGCATATAGTAATCATCATTGCATTTCATTGCATTGCATCTTCTAAAAGCGTGTAGCATTTCCACTGATTTGGAGAATTACGCTAAAAAGAAAAATCTCAAACATGTATTGAAGCATAAGCCAAATTAAAGTCTTTTTCAAGCATCCTTTGTATCTCCGAAGAGATTCTATCAATCAGAAATCCCAAGTGGTATTATCCACAGGTTTTCCTCAAGACATATACTCTTGTTGTTGCTATCTACAAGCATTCTTGACCTCGTATCAGTTTCTCACAAATCCACAATCCAATTCATTTACCAAGCGTCTTGTTTTTTGAAAACTCTTGCTGTGGTATTTTGGCCCATGTTTGCCTTTGTGATTAGAGTGCGAGTAAGAGTCGGTGTATAGCCTTTTTTTGCTTCTCAAGTATTTGAGTATCCATACTTGGTGTGTGGCAATTCAGATAATTGCCACTCTTGAAGAATTATACCGCGCCTTTAGCCTGAGGATAATGTAGTTCCTGTGATTTTGAAAACATCAATACCCTCTTAAAAGCCCAACTTAGGCTGGAAATCCTTGTCTAGAGTCCCCTTCGGCTGATCTCTTTTCTTTGTAAGTTCTCCTTCTATCAAAGTTCTATTCAGAGTCAATGTCTATTTGTATCGCCAGTAAGTTCCCCTTCGATTGTGTTTCTTTGTTAGAGCCTTCTTCGGTCAGTCTCTTTCTTGTATATGTCTAACTCTGGCCTGACATATATCTCCATTATCTTTGTTAAGAGTCTAATTTTGACTAGTCTCTTCTATATGTATGTCTTCCCTCGGCTTGGCATACATTCAACTCTCGGGTTGTCAGATTCGTTTCTTCTCCGATCCTGAATCGTGAGATTGTTAATTTATTTCCTCTCCGATTCCTAAATCGTGAGTCTGCCAATTTGTTTCCTCTCCGATCTATAAATCGTGAGTTTTCCAGATCGTCCTTCTCCGACTTCTGAGTCACGAGTTTTCCAGTTTATTTCTTCTCCGACTTCTGAGTCGCAATTTTGACAATTTATTTTTTCTTCGACTTCCGTGTCATGAGTTTTCTAATTTGATTCCTCTCTGACTTCTGAGTTGTGAGTTTTCCAATTTATTTCTTCTATGACTTTCGATTCGCGAGTCTATTACTTTTGTTTCTTCTACGATTCCTAAATTGTGATTTTGTCAATTTGTTTCTTCTCCGACTTCTGAGTCGCGAGTTTACCAATTTGATTCTTCTCCGGTCTCTGAATTGCGAGTTTGTTAATGTGTTTCGCCTCCGATCCCTGAATTGTGAGTTTGTCGTTTGTGTTTCTTCTCCGATTCCTAAATCACGAGTATGTCAGATTTGTTTCTTCTCCGACTTTTGAGTTGCGAGTTTGCCAATTTGATTCTTCTCTGGTCTCTGAATTGCAAGTTTATTAATGTGTTTCTCCTCTGATTCCTGAATTGTGAGTTTGTCGGTTGTGTTTCTTCTCTGATCCCTGAATCATGAGTTTATCAATTTATTTCTTCTCTGATCCTGTCGTGAGTTTGTTAATTTTGTTTCCTCTCCGACTTCGGAGTCGTAAGTTTTTTGATACACTTCCTCTCCGATCCCTGAATCGCGAGTTTGTAAGATTTTGTTTCCTCTTCGACTTCTGAGTCGCGAGTTTGTCAGATGTGTTTCTTCTTCGATTTTGAGCCGCGAGTTTTTCATTCCATTTCTCCCCCAACTTCTGATTCGCGAGTTCGTAAGTTTATTTCTTCTTTGACTTCTAAGTCGTGAGTTTGTCAATTTGATTTCTTCTCTGATCCTTGAATCGCGAGTTTCCAACCCTTAACTTGTCACTTTATTTCTTCTCCGACTGCTGAGTCGTGAGTTTGCAACCCTGAGATGCATATTATCACAAACAATTCCTCAACAATCATTTGTTCAACTTCTGTTCATCTTTTACGGTTTCTTTCATTCATGAATCTTCACCTTGATTGTCCATCTTTTGCGAGTACGATTGGTTAAGCATCTCTTCCACCTTTCGTTCTCCTTGGCAGATAGGCAACATAACTTCTTTTTCCTCTAAGGAAATCCTTCGGGAATATCAAACCATTACCCGCTAAAGCTTGTTAGTGGAGGCATCCAAAAAGAAAAAAATCATAAATATTTCTATCCGTTCTTCAGAGTGCAAATTTTCAGGTTCTTTTAGTATTTAATCTTATTCTACCTTGAAAGTTAGATAGGCTAGGGCCAATCTAACCTTCAAGTTAAATACGATTAAATAGGGGCAGCTGTTGTACCCCAAAAAATTCCCTCATAATTTCTTTTATCTGGCTTAGGCTTGGCATTGCATTTACATCTTACCATTAGGTCATCTGCACTAATATGGCATACATTTACATTCAATAAAGCGCCTGAGGTTCAAAGTTTAGTGGTTGTGCAAGCTAGGGTTTTCAGCTCTTTTGAGATGTACATATCAAATAAGACTATTTCTTCTGATTTTCTCTTCAAGCAGTGAAGTATTGGAATTAGGGTTTGGGGTTTCGTTTGATTTTGATTAAAGTTTTCGAGGTATTGTGATGTTCATCAAGACTTTGATTCATGCTAAGAATTGGAAGAATCATGTTTTTGGATTTCTTTTCAAGCAAGTAACTTGGGTCTTAAGTCACTTTATTGAGCCCCTCCATTTCATTCATTCAACATTATTCATCATGTTTGTGTTCATCAACCATTTTTGAAGGCCAGGCAACTCGATTATTTTAAGTTCATGTCATAGAAATTTCAAATTCAATGTTCAATGATTTCATGATCATTTCAAATTCTTTTTGAATTCAAGATCAAATATTCAAGCTTATGTTAAGGCTAAGGAACACATTATTTCATGCCATTTCAAGCTACTAATTATGTACATGTCCGACATGTGCAAACATCATTCAAGATGGATTTTTATTTGGTAAAAAATGAGGCATTTTCAATTGTTGTAAATCAATCCAAAAGAGATTTAAATTTGGTGTAAAGTTGTAAAATGTTACTTGATCGAATACATGCCTCAAGGTGGTTCAAAAGAGGGATTCAAATCGAAATTCAAATTTCCAAGATACAGTTACATCACAAGATACTACATTCAAGGTTCAAGTAACAAGGATCACTACATTGCATTAATGATCATTCAAAATTTGAGAAAAGACTTTGAAAATTCAAATGAGGAGATTTAGAGGGGGAAATAAATCCATTACAATTTCAAAATTGTTACAAGTTCAAAGCAATGTTACAAGAAATTAACATGGAAAACCATACGTAAAATAAACCTAAAGCTAGTCTTCAACAAGAAACTACACGCTAAACTTCAAAATCCTTCATGCCTCAATTTCTTCAAGCAATAGAACTAGTTGCACATACATAACCATTACCCTATAATCATGAAGAAATTGCCTTGCATCAGCCTCAAAAAAACAGAAGAAGATCACAAAAAAGAGTCAGTTTCACTCTATTCGATAATAGAAAACCAGTTCAGCCAATGCCATTCAGAAAATCAGAAGTTATATATATCATAAAAAGAGAGATTTCATTAAGTCAGAATTCATATTAAATGGAAGAAAACCGAAAATCAATTTGCAACCATGCCCCTAGTTTAAAATTAGAAACTTAAAGAGGAATGGTTGGAACCGTGAAAAACTTTGTGACCATGTCACAATGTAAACCAATTTTGCATTAGTTCAAATGACAATAGAAAAATTAGAGGAAATAATCAAAATTCAAAACCTTGGTTCATTGACAGCTCATCATAACCATAACTGAATTCACTAACAAACATAATCAATTTCTAACCTACTAACTGCTCTCATCCTATCCATCTATTCCATAACAGAAAATCAGAAATCAAGGGCTCAGAAAGATATAACAGAAAATTCACCCAAGATTGCTCTTTCTTCACAATCTGTAGAAGAATCACACATAAACTCTCTCTCTCCTTCTCAACCTAAATTCACAATTGATTCTTCAAATTCCCTAGAGAATCACCACATAAAATCTCTGAAAACTCTCCTTTTTCTCTAGACAATTCTACTTCTCATTGCTTCAATTCTCTGAATTATTCTGCAAAAGCTTCTTCATCATCTTCAATCCTCATCACCTTTCTCCTTCAATCGCATCAATGTAGATATACGATACTGCATCTTCATCTTTGTAACCAACACATCATTATCTTTAACCCGATCCTGCGATATCTTCGGTAACAATAATCATCAGCAATCTCCAATCTTCAACACAACACGCAACGACATCAAAAGCAGAAACGCAATAAAAATTTGCAGAATCAAAAAAGTAGAAGAAGAAGATGAAATAGAAAGGGAACAGAGTCACACACCTGAGTTACTAATTTTTCGACATCGTTATTGAAGACGCTCCAAATCGATCTCCGACAGGTAAGTTTCGAGACTTTCCTCTTCTTCATTGTGTGTGTCGCGTTATTTTTATGACAAAATGGAACCGTTTGGAGATGTTGAGAGGATGAGCGTTAAGACATGCAGAGGGAAATAGTATGGTGGTGGTGTGAAAAATTGTGGTGGATGTTTGAGGAGATGAATCCGCCGCAAATTGTTGATAGAATTTGTTGTATCGGCCATGGTGGTGAACAGCGATGAACGGCTGTGAGGATGAGATAATTGAGAGGATGTATCAAGGATGAGAGAATGAGGTTGTAGCGCCGCATCGCTATACTGATTGAAGGAGAGAGAAAAGAAATTTAGTTCTGAAGTTGAACAGCCATTTCTGCAACCCTAATTTCACGTTGTTATCCCTTTTCGTTTTCTTCTTTTTTTTTTTTTTTATAATTATTTTTGTTGTTTAATTTTTCTCAATTTCAATATAAATAAACGATCAGTGAACATATTAGAATAAAATCTGGTGTAAATCTGATGTTGGTAATGAGTAAGTGGACCGAACCCCTCACCCTTTGAGCCCAATATACATTTTTCTTAGTCTGAATGCATTATGCAAAAATTCTCCTAGGTCTTGTGTTTTGTCCTAAAATTTTTCCTCCTATTTTACTCAACATATGTTCATTGAGGTCCTCAACTTGCTCAAGGATGCTCAAGAGCTGACCAGACAAACTCTCTCCTAAAGCAATTAACCTCCAACTAGGGTTTCCATCTTCATCAAGATGTGTGAGCTCCAAAGGCCTCATATGATTTCCATAGTCCTAATATGTTCTCAAGACCATCCATGCCAAGTTTCATGCCTTGCACAAGAAGTTTTCCCAGTCAACTGCTCAGATGCTTGAAAATCAACTATATTAGGTCAAAAGTCAACTATGGCCCACATACAGTCAAACTTCAAGATTTTTGGTCAACATCAACATTTTGAAGTGATATTCATCATTTGATCAAGGGTTGATCATGATTCCCAAAGGAATGCTCCTAATTCATCAAAACTCAAAAGTTGTTAAATTAGGGTTTCTTAAGAAAAGTCAACCAAACTTTGACTAGGCATAACTTCCTCATACTTTATCAAAAATTTCCCATCCAAGTCTCATTTTGAAGATAATTCAATTCCCTACAACTCATATTCATCCCTCAAGTTCAAAAAAATGCACTAATGAAAAGATATGAATTCAGACATTATAGGTCATTTCAAAAAGTTAACGAAAACACATGTTGGGTCAAAGCTTCTTACATGAGCATGGAAGATCCAATTGAATTGAAATCAAAAAGGTTGTTTAGGGGACATCTCAATCTTTCTAAAAAGTCCAGGAACCTCCTCTTAGGGTCAAAATTGAAGGAGATATGCATTGTCAAAGTTAGCCATTTTTGGAAAATTGTCAAAAGTCAACAATGCCCAAAATTGCATCTTTTGTCAAATGGGTCCAACTTTTTATGCTTGCACCTCACTTCCAACATGGTCCACGACCCAAACACCCTTCCACATGTTATTGGATTTATTTATTTAATTTATTTTGATTTTAATCATTTAAAAATCAAATAAATAATCAAAATAATAGAAGATTTTATTGCAAATCTTTTTCTCATCAATTGACAATCAACAAAAGCTGGCAAATCAAGGCAAATTTATGGAGAGAAAGTAAGAGTGGATTTGTTCCAAAAATAAACAAAATCAAATAATTGAAGGGAGGATATTTTATCATCAAAGCATGGATTTTTTCCACTTATGTTGACCTAATATGCTACCATACATAAACACAACCATCCCAGACCGGAACACGAGAGGCTACCTCAAAAACCAGGAACAAGTTTGCAAAAATATCCAAAGTTGGTGCAATAAAAAAACTCACGATTCATCCACTCTCAATCAGAAGCAGGCACTTTATCTTCCTCCTGAGGCTCCCAGGAAGACAAATCAATCCTCACCCACGCCTGAAACATTCTGAGGTTGCCCAACTGAATCTCAATTTTCTTGGTAAAATCTTGGATCTCAAACTCTCACAACATGCCATATCAATTTTGTTTGAGTTTATATTTGTGTTGCTAATGATTTTTGCTAGCTTTTTGACGTATCACACGAGGCAATAGGGTATGGGTTTACACTTTGCCATGTTTGACCGTTGCTAGGGTTTCAAACGAGAACTCAACGATGCGTGAGGAATTATCATTTTTAGAGGCCAAATTTGAATTCAAGGGACTTTTTTAAGGCAGATGGCATTGTTTGTTTTTTTGTTTGGTTGATTTTTCAGGAAACCTCAACGGAGAAGACGGTGGAAACCACCGCCTCCGGTGGTTAGACTGGCCGGTCATCAGTCAACTGGATGGCGTGGCAAAAAGACAGCATTTCATTGGTTCTTTTCAAATGGTTCTCTCTCTCTCTATGTTTGATTGGCCTATTTGAATCACAAGGCCCCCACTTGCTGGCGCGCGTTTGACAACTCAACAGTTGTCCTTACTTTCCATTATATTTAATTGTTGTTATTATATACACGATTGACTAACCAGCGCAGATGGAAAGGGAAGTTGACGTGTGAAAGGGAAGACCTGGGTTCGATCCCAGGTCCAGGCCTTTTGTATTTTCTGAATTTCCAATTCCAGATCTGGTGTACCTCACCTTCAGAGGATCATCACGCGCCCTCAGATCTCATCCACTGGATCCATCTCTAGCCAGATCCAACATCCAGCATGTGCAAGCTCATGATAGACCCTCAGATGATGGTCTCATTGAATCAGGCACGATCCTCTGGGCCACCAGCTTTGGGCCCATCCTTCTAGGCTTCAGCAATTCAGCACACACACCCCTGGAGTGCTAACTACATCAGGCCCATTTTCTTTATTTGTTTTTTTTTAATTTGTTATTTTAATTATTTTCACAAAAATAATTTTTTATTAAATCATAAAATCAGAAAATTATAAAAAATATTAGGTTTAATTTTTTTATGTAAAATATTTACTTGCATTAATTAATTAGTTAATTAGGTTAACTTAAATACTTTTTTTTTTGTAATTAAAATTTAATAGAAAGTTAGGTTAACTTAAATATTTTTTTTTATAATTAAAATTAAATAGAATTTAGGTTAATTTACAAGATTAATCACTTTTTTCAAAAAAATCCAAAAATATATTTTCTTCATTCCCGTCTTAATTCTTCGCGCGCGTTTTATTTATTTATTTAGAATTATTGTATCTGCTTTGGGTTTGTAATAGATTAATCAGGGTTTTAAATTTCTGCATCTTTGTTTTTTTCAGTCAAATATTTGTGTATCTGCCCAAAAGCCTTGTAATAGCATAGATTTTTCTTTTCCGCAGCTATTAGAATGCTAGATGTATGGATAATAGGATTGAATGGCAAGACAAATAACTTTAAAATGGTAGATAACCCTAACTGTGCAAAGATAATTAACTGAAAAAAGGCACACTTGCACATGCTCACTCCTAGGGTTTACCCCACTTGGTTTCCTTGGAAATTATGGCCGCGTCCCTCGAATGTAGGGATATCTTAGCAATGACCCGTAATTCAAAGTCGTCATAAAGATCATAGTCCCTACTTGTCCCTCGAGTTGCCTACGAATTGATCTTATGATGATAGTCCCTTCGAAATGCTAAGGTATCCTTACTTGTTGCCTTCAGAGACCATTTCGTCCCTTCGAACGTCCCTTAAAATTCCAACGACGGAGCTACCTACTCCTTAATAGTAGGATAGCGTTGTCTAAAGGAAACGAAAATGAACAGACTTTTTTCGAGTAGGTAGAAAACTCTTAAGTACTTGCTCAAAACAAAAACTATTCACACAAACACTTTTCAAAAACAATTTTCAAAACAACTTCGTCACACTCTTGAAGACAAATACAAGGGTTATCACAAAGTAAACAAAACTTTTTCAAAACAAGCACACACAAGTAATTTTAAAAATGAGCCAGTACCTAAGAGCCCATGGAAAACCACAGATAGAAAGGGTGTTAACACCTCTCCTTTCTATAATCTACCCCCCGTACTCAGAAACTCTCGAAAAAAGGTTTTTTCTGTTCTTTTTCCTTTCCTTTGTTGGATGAAATAAAATTCGGTGGCGACTCTTACTTACTGCAACATTTGCAAACAAAAAACGCAAACCAATATAACAGTCGATTATGCCACCATATCACAGAACTGGCGACTCTACTGGAGACTCTTGTAAAGTGGGGTTTACCTTAGGATCTAATTTCATTTTAAATTGTTTGCTTTGTTTGCTTTGATTTGCTTTACTTTTAAAGGTTTGTTGGGGTATTCTTGTATAGATCCTATACCCGGATCTGGGGACACTTTTTAGGTAAACAACAATAGATTGTGGAGACTGTACGACGTAGATCGGTATGGTTTAAGCGATGGCTATGTTGGTGTGACACGTTGGTTGGTACCGATATCCTTCGTGTTGAAACGAGGAGAATACGGGGCCGCCGCGTGGTGTCCTGAAGCACTAACGGACCTTAGAACCTTAGTTGAACAAACTTAGCCATTAGAAAGTAGTGAGATAGCCGGCCTCGGTATAAAGCTGAGGATCGATTGATACTCGATGCTACACTCATTGAGATCAGACTTTCGGGATATTTTGGCTGCAAGAAAAGATTGCCTGAGCTGAAACAATGCCCGATAAAGGATGATCAGTGATTTTGAGAATCCTTAGAACCCGGTTACTTTTCTAAGACAGGTTTGAAACCAACTAAACTTCAAGAGGTTACTGACCTTTAACCTCATGCACGCCTTTGAACCTAAGGTCTATTGTGTGCTTTTCTTGTGTGATTTACTTCGTTTGAACATGACATCATGCATTATAACATGGCATCCACTCTTATTACACTAACCATTTCAAGGACCGATGGAATTTATCTTTGTTCTGTTTTGCAGATCATGGCTTCCGCTCGTAGAAACACTATCTGAATCAGCTTTGTGAGAATACCTCCCCAAGTCAAGAAATTAGTATCAAGGGTTCCTGAAACTTCTTCGTTCACTAAGAGACATGGTCGACTTCTCAACCTGGTTACTTCGAGCTTTGATGAAAATATGATGGGTGTACTCTTTCAATTCTTCGATCCCAAGCACCACTGCTTCACTTTTCCAGACTATCAGTTGGTGCCTACCATGGAAGAGTTCTCTCAGTTATTGAATCTACCCATTCTTGACCAGGTGCCTTTCACAGGTTTAGAAGAGGTTCCTAAGCCAGAATTCATTGCCTCAGCTTTGCATCTGAAATGGACCGACGTGGTATCCAATTGGGAAACAAGAAGCGGAGTCAAGGGTTTTCTAGCCAAGTTCCTAATAGATAAGGCCTAACTGTTTTGGGATGATTTGGACTTTCAGGCTTTTGAGGAGGTCTTGGCCCTTCTAATCTATGGGTTAGTACTATTCCCTAATCCAGACTTATTCATAGATGTGAATGCTATCAAGATCGTCCTCTCTCGCAACCCTGTGCCTACCTTGCTCGGAGATATCTTGCATGCTCTCCATACTTGTACCATGAACAGAAGAGGGGTTCTTATGTGCCGCACACCATTACTA